CTGAATGGTTGTGCAACTTCTTAGAGGATATTCCAAGATGGTCAAAACCTGTGTCAGCAATTTGCATATATTGTGACAGTCAATCGAAAATAGGAAGGGCACAGAGTAACATATATAATGGTAAGTCTAGACATATACGTCGTAGACACAATACCAAAAGACAACTACTCTCAACTGGAGTTATCACTATTGACTATATAAGATCAAAAGATAACATTGCGGATCCGCTAACCAAAGGGTTAAATAGAGAGTTAGTTATGAAATCATCGAAGGGAATGGGACTTAAGCCCTTGAAAGAATAAGTCATTACAAAGGAAAACCCAACCTATTTGACTGGAGATCCCAAATCTAGGTTCAATGGAAAAACCTAACTGTAAAGACTTGATAAGATCACTGTAGGGGTATTACCTCCTTTCCATTCCTATGATGTAATTGTGATACCCGTAAGGTTGAAGGTTAAGCAATAGGTTTTTAATAATTCTTATGCGTCGTAAATCGAGCCAAGTAATGCGGGTTACTTGTAATAAGAAATCACCTATGTGAGCGAGAAGTGGGGCTGCTTCTAAGAGAATTGTGTAGGGCTCAATTCTTAAGAACTCTCACAGAACTAGGCATATGTTCATGGCCAAAACGAACATAATAATGAGAATTGGATTGTGTTAAGAAGAATCCTGTGTGCGGTATATCATCGTTTATACAAATGGCAGAACAGTTCAAGGACATCGCGTCTACTGGTCAGCCAGTAAAATAAATATGCTTTCACAAGGGAAGGTTCAAAGGGTAACACCTACCTATCCTATGCAGGATTCAACCACTGAACTTTATCACCAAGTCTTGTGTCTCACATTTTGTGTCTCTTCCAATTTTCATTTATGTGGAGGATTGTTGAAAAAAATTGAGTGAGCAGCTCACTTTTGACACAATTTCGATGGGACTCGTTGGTCCAATGTGGAATATCAAAGTTGATATGTGTTCTCCTCCGCGAGAGTATCGATTTCATGTATTTATTTGCCAAAAATGAAACTCGGGTGAATGAGAAATTGGAGCATAAAGTTGGTCATTGGAAGTTGATTTTGTGGGAAAAAATGCATTTATCCCACATAGGAAAACCAAGAAAACTTAAACCACTTTATATATGACTATGCTTTGGAGATGTGTAATCATGTGTAGCATAGAGGCTCTCTCCACGTGTGAGCACAGGAGGGTACAAATCACGAACCGAAATGACTTTCGGACCTTGAACTTGGGTGTGGGCGCGACCTGCGCACAAGAATGTCGGACCGAACAAGGCAAAAATGGCCTCATTGGAGAGCCCACGTTTTGCCAATTTTTTTTGCCTTCTCCAATGACTTTTGAATTTCTAAATTGAAAAAACTCCAATGGACTCCTAATGGTCACAGTGTTTATGGGAAGTAACTCCAATGGACTCCCAATGGTCACAATATTAATGGCAATATGCCTATAAAAAGGCTCATTCTCTAGCAATCTAACACACTCGAAAAATCTCACCTACATTCCTGCATACCTGGATACACAGTTTCTTCTTTTCTACATTTCTTGTCTAGTAAGGTCTTGTTCTTGTGGTGATATTGTTCAGATACTAGATCAGTTCGTCGGAGTAGGACCGCGGTGCTCGGATTCTGCTTATTACCGTTGTATTCTGGGAGACAGCAGCTCGAACTGAACATGCAGCACCTACGGTGAGGGGGCGAAACTGTCTTAAGAAAACTGTGCACGCACAGGCCTCGATTTGAAATCTGCTGCAGTTTGTGTTTTCTTTCCACATATTATTTTTGTATTATTATTTAATTCATACAGTTTGTAGTTCCATAGTGTGCAGCTTCCAGATTTATCGTTTACAGTTTTAGCCTGCGATTAACTTATATTTCTGATTTTGTGTTGCTAAACATTTTTTTTAACCGTTGAAAAATTCTGAAACGAAATTTTTTTGATAAATTGAAATCGTTTGCCTTGTGGTTATTAATTTCAATAGTCGGCCATTACAATTGAATAAAACTTATACAATTGATTTCATCCACTAGCGACTTGTTTTCCTACAAGACGCAATATATTAATTGCAATAATGGAGTTCAATTATAGCAATTAATTGAAAATAGAAGAAAATAAGAAGAAGTAAAACACGAGAAAGAAAATTAGAGATAGAATCATAGACAAGGGAACTCCCTTTCTCCTTCATCCAATGATTATAATAGAAAGCAAAGGAAATAAAAGCGCGCTAGAAAAAGACCAAAGAAACGTGTTCCACTTTTACACTATAGAAATCAATTGTAACGATGTCGTCTTAAATTAATTAAAGTTTATGCTGGGTGTACAGAGGATTAAGTGTACAGAATGTGTACAGACTCTCACAAGTGAATGGACCCCACATGAATATTTTATTGTCAAAAAACCTTGATGTGTGTATTCTGTACACATTCTGTACACTTAATCTTCTGTACGTGTAGAATAACTTTTAATTAAAATGGTGCCATCTCGGTATTTGAATTTCTTTCAACTTTGACTGCATCTCTTTCTTTTTTTCTGGTTTTGATCTGATCTTCTTCTTCCTTTCTTTTACCTTAGTCGACTGGACTCAAATACAATGTTATGTGTCCAATTTACATATTCAAGATAAGATAATCGAAAAAAGAGTCAGAAAATCACGATTCAAAAAATTCTAAATTGCTCATTTTAAGCCTTACCCTAATTATCATTGATAATATACAATAAAAATGTTTCCACAGAATTTAAATAGGAGGCTGGCTTAGGAATGGCAACGAGCTAGGATAGCCATCTCCATCTCCATCTCCATCTTCAATCCTCCATTTACCACATTATTTTATTTATTTTTAAAGTTTACGATTAAGATTTTAAAATGTTCAAAAAAATTGAGGCAGGATCAAGGAATTCAGGGGTGAGGAGGAACCTAACTACTAACGAGTCCAAAATTTCTTATTGGGATATTTGCCGTCCCTAGCCGGCTAGTAGGAATCGTTTGATTAGGGATGAACATGGTTCCATTTGATTCTGATTCTTAAAAAATTGAACTGAATCATTAACCCATTATTTATTTAGGCCCGTTTGGAAGATATTTTGAGAATTGACTTTTTGATCGTTAGAAGAAAAGTGGAATACACCTGTAAGAGAAAAAATCAAAAATTACGGTTAGAATAGTAAAATAAAGGTCAAAAAATCAATTTTTTAAGGTAAAAAATCAATTTTTTAGGGTAAAAAATACTTTCCAAATAGACTATTAATAATGGAATCAAAGGTTTTTCTTTTTTTTTTTTTTTTTCTTCTTCTTCCTTTTTTTTTTTTTTTTGAATGGTTTTTGGTTTAATTTGGTTTTATTCTAGTTTCATTTCTTAAAATTTTAGACTTGCACCATATCTATAAATTAGTAATAAATACATAAAAAAAAAATTAAATATCAAACATTCAACAATTTCAAATTATCAATCTTCAAGATCGTAAAAGTCCAAACTAACAAATAAAATATAGTGATAATTTGAATACACAAACCAAATTCATTCCCTGTCAAAAAATTGTCCAATAAGTAATAACAATGATTTATTAAATTAGTTGCGTGGGATTCAGGGTGTCAAAAATGGAAATGCTAGAAAGGAAAGGTGACTTTGCTCACTCGAAAAAAGGTCTCTCCAATTTTTTTGATTAATATTTTTGAGGGAAAAATTCATAATTAAGAAGTATAATAATCAAATTTCAAAATTAAGAAGAAAAGCTTCAAATTTCAAAAATAAGATATTTATTAAAAATTATTCATGATTTAATTAATTATTTTATTAATTAAATATATTAAGTGTTTGTTTAGTAGAGATTTTGATAATTGATTTTTTGATCGTTAGAGATAAAGTGTGTCCTGCTGTGAGAGAAAAATTCAAAAATGACGACTAAAATAGTAAAATAACGATAAAAAAATTGATTTTAAATGGCTTAAAATCTGTACCAAACAAATTTTAAGGTCACAGATCTATACAATTTGGTCACAAATTAATAATTTAGTTAGTCAAATATTATTTTCGATCACAAATTAGAATTTTTATATGTTATAAATTATTTTAAGGTCACAATTTATTCATTGATTACAAATTAAAAATTTATAAGTCACAATTTATTTATCGATCACAAATCACAAATATTATAAATCATAACTTATTATACAGTTACAAATTATCAAATTATCGATTACAAATTAATAATTTTTTAGGTCATACATTATTTTTTTATCACAATTTATCTTTTTCATTGGTCTGTATTGTTTATTAGTTACATATTAACAAATTTAAAGATCATAATCAACTAAAATAATTTGTGGCCGCCATCAATACTACGACTACCACCCCGCCACTAGCAGCTATCGCTGCCACCAATAGCTATCCTTGTCACCAACAAGTTCCAACACTGTCGTCCAAACACAAGATCGCAAGCACAATGTTTGATATCTAAACACTAGCGAAATCATCGCCCAACCTCCAACAGACCACTGCCACCACCATAACCACCAACAAACTACCGTCCACCATTGCCACCAACAAGATTCAAAAAAAACTAGATCCACTACCACACCACTTGACTAGTGCCAAACTCCACCACCAACATTGCCAAACCAAGTTGCACCATCGTCAACAACCACCCCAAAACCAACAAAAATCGATAAAATCTCATAAATCCACTTGCACCATAGTCGCTACAACCATAGATCCACTTGCACCATAGGCATCCTTTCTCTTCTCCGGCTCCAATTTGTTGCAACAACAACCACCTATTCTCTTTTCTAGCAGATCGCCACAACTGCCCATTCTATTTTTCCAGTCAACTAACAGCATTTTGGACGATTTCAATTCAGATGGATTTCAAGTGTATATTTATGAAATGTTAGGAACCTCCGTTGGTACAAAATGAAGGTTATAATAAAACCTGCAAAAAATAAAAATATTAGGGACCCCTCCTGTAATTTTCTCAATAAAAACGTTGACAAAACATTTTGTTCAAGAACAAAGGCAAAAAATTACATGCGCAAATTTTGGACCCGAATGAATAATTTCTGTGAAAGACGTATTCCGATTAGAAATTATTAATTGTATTTTCTGTCAACCCAACTGAAAATCACTTCGACCGAGCCTCAATTTGGGTTATAAATTCAGCTCTTGTTCGAATTGAATCCATCAAGGCTGAAAAAAGATGTTAATGTTGCAGTCTCCTGTGAATATCGATTTCATCTACTTCATTCTATTATCAATCTCTCTTTTTGTTGTTCAGTTTTCTCCTCCTGTATCAGCTATCAGGTACAAGAAAATAAAAGATCAAATCCGTGTTTTATTTCTAATTTTCATTAGACTGTATTATAACTTTGCGACAAGATTTATTTCCGGCGTGTTAGTTTGATAAATATTTGAGTTCTTTTTTTTTTTTTTATTTCCGTTTCTGGATTAACGTTCCTAATTTCATATGCAATTCTAAATTGATAGTCTAGTATTTTGTTTGGGAGTTTCTTGAATTTCTTTTTTTCTATACATCAGCCCATTATTTATCTTTTATTCCTAATGCAATCGTATACACGTTTCTTGTTTTATTATGGAAGATTTTGTTTTGTTTTCTTTTTCTGCTCCCCCCCCCCCCCCCCCCGCCCCTGTTTTTTTTTTTGTGTATTTTATGCATTCTAGTATGAATGACAGGAAGGATGTGAGCATGCAAACAAAATATAATTGCAGGACCACTGTTCAAGGGAGGTTCTTGCTCACTGACGATAACGGTTTGTAATTTCTCGAAATTAAAATTTTGATGTTTCTGACCGAAAATTATGAGATTTTAGTCGGGTATATAGCCAGCTAATTACTAGTGGTTGTACACCATAATATACATGGCTAATGATAGAATTAATTAGAGCCACGAATGATGGATAGGAACTGTTCAGAGCTCTGATTTAACCACATGGCCACATTACTTATGCACTTCACGATATGATCTGAATGTGTCATGTTTTTCCTCACCACCTTGTGGCATGTATTCATGATTATATGGAAAAAGACCTTCGGGGAACTAGCCACATTCTTTTTATGCAAAGGAAGGTTCATCTCTAGAATAGTATTTGATGAATTGGATATTGGCTCTCTGTCTGCAGACAAATGAATATAGAATTATGAAAGCAGGCAATAGGAAGAGGTCTTTTGCAAGGATATTAGACCATAAAGAATATATAATTTCTCATTTAGTCAGCTCTGCCTCTTTTCTGGATCCATACCGAGGAACTTTATGTTCTATACAATGTCATGTTTGACCTAGGCACTTTCAAAAAAGTCAATACTTAACATTGAGATTGTTTTTGTTATTTTGCAGAGTCAGCTATGGCCGACAAGTGGCCGAGATTTCTAATTTGTTAGTGTTTAGAAAATGATTTAGAGAAATATAGAGATGTATTGGATCCATAAAATACTTGGCCCTATGTATTGGATCTATAAAATACTTGGCCCTACTCTTTCTGTCACATTAGCATGATAGCTCCTTTACCAAGCTATACAGCATCCAGTTAAGTAGAATTATGATGCGGTATCTTATTGTGTCTAACGTGAAGTTAAATTTGTAGTTTACACTGTACACTCTACAATTGTCATGTTATTCCTTTCCTTGCTGTTATTGGACTTCCTGTGAAAAAATTACTTTCTGCATTAAGAAATCAGGAGTGCAGCCAAAATTATATTTCTAGAAAGGCCTGTAAAAAGGAGAGAGCTTTGTGGAATAGGATGCTGGCTTGGATTGTAATTACTGAATTGAATGGGTCTCAACTTGTTGGGTCTTAAATAATGAGAAGAAATGTGGAAAGTCATAGAGTTACAAGATCCATATCCCCTCTCGACCCTGATGAGGTTTTATTTTTGCAGGTCATGTCTGTGATCCTTTGTCAGTTGACCCACTCTCTCGTTGCTGCCCGAGAAAAGGAGATCAATTCTCTTGTCAGTAAGTTATCTCTTTCAAGTTCTTTTATAAGTTTCCCAATTTCAAGTTCTCTCTGTTAGGAAATATGTCACCATTAGGAAGATATTTGTACAATGTATTGATGGCAGCTCTACTCTCCCTCTGACCATCCAATGTAATTGCAGAGGGTGCAATCTTGTTTCACAGTGTTGCAACTCATATGAATTTTGTGTTTCGTGCTGCTTGAATCCAGCTAGGGTAATTCATTCCCTTATTCTGTTTTCCCTTTATCTTTATTTATACTATTCTTCAAATTGTAAAATGTTGTGCTATTTGTTGTGCAGACACTAAAAGAACTGGCATTAAAGGTTAAAATGGCAAAGCCTTTGACTGCAGGTAAATTTTTTCAATATTAGATTGACAGAAGATATAAATTTATGATATTATTTATTTAGTGCTTAAATTGTGATTTTACATTGATTGGTTTGTTTAATTAAAATATCTGTATTCAATTTAAGTTAGCCTCATCTTCAGTGGCCATTGGTTTGAAATCAGCTTGTTTCTACCATTTATGGCCGATTGAGTTAGTCGGCAGTAAAGTCTTTCTAAGATTATTATACTTATTGTTGGTAAGATGATTGATAAACTTATCTACTGCTGAAAATAACTAATCCTACATCAATTAAAAAGGATTGAATAGTAAATTTGAAGAATTCACAAAACTAACCTAATGAGCAACATAAACACATCAAGAACGCCAGAGCATGTGATTTTTTTACCACGTCTAATCCAATTCAATCATGTTATTTGAAGATTATAACCCATGTGATTGCTGAATAACCCTTAGTTCTTTTGGTATTCTCTCCAGTTATATTAAAACTACTTACATATGCTAATCTAGTATATCTCTGTGTGAATTTCAATATAAGAAAGCTCATTAAATGATGTGGTAATTTCCAAACAAATTGGACAAATAATAGAAGTATGTCTATATCTCCTATGCAAATTTTTGATATTCATTATAATGAGCTAAACACATAACCTCTCTTGCTCGTATGATTCTCGAATCAATTAAACGTTGATTTGGAATAATAAACATGAAATCATAAACTTTGAATTAACACAATTAAAACTGAAATTAAATCTTCATAGATAGGCTACATCATGGCCCTAGTAATGAGAACTTAGTTCATGATAAAACTATGAAAATCCATGAACTTAGTCATAAACATTCAAAGAGAAGATAGAAAACAAAATGAAAATGGGTAGGAAGATGAATCGGTTGATTTGGAGTCTTTGACCTCATGTTCTCTTGCTGCTGCTGCTGCTGCTTCTTCAATTCAGCTCAAATGTCTTTTGTGAGTTGTTCTAAGTCTAAGAATGTCTTGTGTCTAAGTTGGAAGATATTTGTGCCGAAGGGTTGTAAAATCTTTTCACATCCAAAAAGTATCCAAAATGCCCTTAACTATGAAATATAGCAAAATGGACCCACATTCTTATCCTCCTGCTTTCTATGCTTAGATAAGCTCTCCCAGGTGAGCAGCTTCAGCAATTTTTCTCCTTTTCTTCTTGATGTTGAGCTCAGACACCTGACTAGTTTGAAGAAAAATGTCCATAACTTTATGTGGAAAAGTCGAAATTGAGAACCGTAAAATGCATTGAAATCCCGACTTGATAAGATTTCCACTGAAATGTTATTTGCCTAGTAAAAATCCCTGCCTCACATTTTGGGACACTAAATTGTCCCCGAGTTGTGACGTACAACCTTCTTTCAACTTTTTTATTTTTTGCGAATGTGTCTTCTATGCTTGAAGGTGTTAGCCTCCTTTTGTCAAATATATAAATAGTTTATATAGATGAATAGTAGTAGATCCCAATAAATGTGTGGATAATAATGAGCAGAGTTATGAACGTAGGCTTGGAATTAATATTTGACTTTGACTGAATTTATAATCCATTTATAAGTTTCTTTCCAAATGGAGGATCGGTAACACAAGAAACAAGTAAAATCGGTTGAACTGCTACTCAAAGTGAGTAAAACAAGTAAAGTTATCGATAAATAAGTGTAGATTTTACACTTATCAGTAGCTTTTGTAAGCCTCGATATAAATTATTCTCATGATCACATGCATTGCTGCGCAAATTAACAACTTGGTTCTTGTTTTTGCAGGAATCTATACAAGTGTTTTTGACTTCTGTACTGGGAGGTGTCGCCATAATTCTGAGAGTGTGGTATGTTTTCTTCCTTCTGCTGTCATTTTGTTACCATGTTGTCTAGCTAAATGCTAACTTTATGTGTCAACGTTACTAATTCATTAATGGCCATAGAGAGGCCATAACTGGGAAATCAGAACACGTTGAACCATTTATAATAGTTTTTACGGTATGGATTCCCTAGATTCTTCGACTAGTTTGTGGATTTTTTTATTTCTTCTTCTTTCAGGTTCCCCCCATCCCGAACCAAGGAGTTCAAAGAAAAGGGTATAGGTTGAATAAAATCAATCTTTAATTTCCCTTCTCTTTATTATAACAAATAAATTTTACTATTACCTCTTTATATTATTTAAATGCCAAATTTAAATCAATTATATGTGAAAGTGGCATGTTTAATACATCGAGAAAAATGTCTAGCATCAAGGAAAAAAGGTTTGAACTTTCGGATATTTAGTCTCAGAAGAAGAAGCCTAATGTTTTTATTTATTTTTATTAAACAAAATGGTTCTATGGGAAAGTGTTGGATATGCAAATTTCAATAGAAATGACGTTTGAATATCCTAAAGATCCATCCAGAGCCTTCACATTAGTTGAATAATTTATCTAAGAGTTGAAAAGTTTCTTCAGAATAAAAAAAGGCTTTATCATATGAGAAGCTTAATTCTTCTGTTGTTTGTGTCTCAAGCAGAGAAGTTTTTGAAAATCCCTGAAATCCTTTTCTTGTGTGCTTGTGCATTTTTGGCGGGGACATCTATTAAGTTGGAGGATGTGACATATTTTCATGCATTTTATCATTTGTCCTTGATGCTGCTGTGTGCTATAAATTTTTAGGTTCATTATTGACTTTATGCCTATTCTACATATAAAAAAAAATTGACTTTATGCCTATTCTTATAAAATAAGAAAGGTAAGCTTTAGTTCTTCAGTGGGATTTCATTTTCTTGATTTTTTTAACTATATTGGTTCCTTATGGCTTACACTCAGGCATTTGATATGCTTATTTAATATTCAGGTTCATGAAAATGCTTATATCAGTGATTTTCATCATTGTTTTTCCCTACCATCTAATTCTTCAGGTCAGTGTTATGGATGGTTTTTTGTGTTAGGATTGTGTTAATTTCTGGGATCTAAAAAATTGATTAAAATAACAATCTGATGTACTTCATTAGACATTGCTAATAAATTAGATCTCCAAGTATGGCTTAAGCAAGTAGATCTTATACTGAGCTTTCGTACTTCCTCATTGCCCATTGCTAATAAAATTGATCTCTAAGTAGGGTTGAAGCAAATAGATTTGACACTGAGCCCTTTTTTTCTTTCTTAAAATTACTGCATATTGACACACAATATTATTTCTTAAAATCCTCAATGAAATAGAATAAAAGCAAACCACCAGGTAATAACAGTTTTTATGTATAACAATGTCTCTCATACACCTTTCCAACCAAATACTAGAAAATGTTGTCCATTTTTTTCCATACGTGGATTTTTGGATTCTAATGTGTTTTAATAGAGCTGCAATCCACTATTTTCTTTTCCCTGCAAGCTGTATAATTCGTTTTGTTTGGATTATCTTATTTTGAATATCATGCATGATGGACATTGATCTGGTGTTTTCTGGTTTTGTAACTTTTCTACATCACTCATAAATATGCTGCATGAAGATCAGGGAATGATTGATATACAATAGCTGCGCACTTTATACATCCTTTATAACCGTTAGCTTTTATTTTCTTCATAAAACTCCAATCATTTTTCTTGACTATCACTTTAATTATTCAATTTTCTCACTGCAAGTGGTCCTCTGCTAAAATCCTTTTTTCTGTAATAATTCGTAGCATGCATAATCCTAAATTTGGGTCAAGATGCTTATTTGAAATAATAAAAACCAAGATCTTTTTAATAGTTGAATCACCTTACTTTCCAAAACTCCAAATCTGCAATTTTCTTGCATTCCAATGGTCTCAATCCTGATCACAATGGAAAGGAATTATTAGTCACAACCTAGTGCCAATTTGTGCGAGTTTTAATACTAAAATTGTGGTTCAGGTGCCTTTCAATTTTGGTGATATTTTCCATACGAATTTTACCATTTTTCTAGCCATTTTTCGCGTCTCTTTTTTCATACCTTCAATTAGGAGTATAACATTTATCTAAAAAATGAGTTTTATCTATCATAAACTCATTAATCTTCCCCTTAGTTTTTAAGAACACAAATGTTCTCAATAAACATAATGTCCAATTAAAACTTCCATCATATCTCAAATTAGATTGGAATTCTGTACTCCATATATACTTCCATAATTTTTCTCAAATTTCTCCACTAGTTTTTTTAACCAAGAATTATTGAAATTAAATAGTTTTTAACTCTCACTCGGAACCAAGAATCATTGAAATTAGATATTTTTTAGATAGCTCACACTCGGAAACAGATTTCTTCCAGTTGAATCAAAAGTTTAAGCCAGCTCTTATGTATTCAAAACTGATTTATCAATACACACAATATTAATTTTAATAATATTCTCCAAAATTTCTCCCTTACCAGAAAAAATGTCAAATGTTACATCTTGTGACCCAATATCCATCCATAATATCATTTAAGTACCTTTTTGGACTGTCATGTGTCTCAAAAATACATCTCGCTCTGAATAAACTTATGTTCCCAAACTCATGATCGAGAACTTCTTATATAATTGATTATGAGTCTAAGATAACCCATATTTAGTTATATATGTGTTCAAAGCTTATATATTTTGAAGGTATAACATAGAGAAAACTTCATTAACTGACAGATTGCCCCTTAACCAAACAAGTAAATTGGATCGTATTATCTTAAGTCTCATCACATTTAGCAATATTCCATTCCTTTACCCAGACCATATAATTGTCGATGATTGAGGAATAGTCAATCCAATATGAATTTCTCTTTCGTTACCTAGATTACTAAACTCTTGTTGTAGAGATCACAATCTCAAAGAGTTCTCAAAGTCTTCAATTCCATAACTTGATTTTCTACTTCACTTCAGAAAAGTCTAAATTAATGCAATATCTTCAACTTGAGAAAATCATAGGCACATTTGAAATGCGTGAATCCATCTATAAATGTAACGAAAATGAAATTTCATCTCATTCTTTTAATCATAGCCCGCAAAGAAATTCGAATGGATTTATTTTATGGAAATTTAGCTCTTACAGCTTTGATTGGTTATCTCAACTCAAAACCTCAAATCATTGCACAAGAATGTGGAACCATAATAAACATCACCACTGTAAATACGAACAGAACTACCACATATAAGTTCAAGTTAGAGACCAATCCTAGAAGAGCCTTGAGCCTTTAATACTAATTTAATATAAAAAAGAGGTCACTTTCTCTACTTTGCAACACTAAGTTGCAGTATTAGTCATATAAACCTCTACTTCATTTTCATTATTTGTATATATCTATCTTGTATCAAGTCAAATACTCGACAATGGACTAAAGACAATTCTTGATCTCATATAAAGTGATTTTCTAACTCTTAAATCCATTATCCATATGTATATTATTTGACACGTAAACGATACTAAGAAGAATATATTCAAATGCAATATCATTTATATTAACTACTTCCGAGCTAAGAGATTCAAATCGTATTGATGAAGCACTTGAACCTAACCTTTATAATATTGACATCCTATCAAAACCACTTTCATCCATTACCTGATATTTCTTGTTGGCCCCTTTTTCGGTCTCCTCATCTATCCTACATTTGTTCTAATTCATTTAATACTTAAGACCTAAAGTCTTATGCGAACTAGAACATTGCTACACAAGCATGTTTTCGAGACTTAGCAGTATCAAATTGCACGTCTTTTAACTCACACAATGGATTTTGTCAATAGAGAAAACTGATGCTTCAATTTGTAAGTCACAATGACCTTCAAAGTTCCGTATATTGAGAAGAGACTAGTTTGAACTTACTACTCATCTAAAAAAGTGTGACCGACAAAAATATCAACACTATGTTAACCATCTCGATTAAGTCACATTCGTGAAAAAGATCAACAGAACTTAACAATTCAAATGCTCAATCACTAGAATCTACCTTTTTTGGAGCTTGACAAAGTTCCGATCTTTATTCTCCATAGTTGTATGACCCATATTAGGTCTTCTATTGCATGGTTGATGCTTTCTAAAGCATTATATTCTTCTAGTACACTCAAAATCTTTTCATGTCAAATGTTATCGCATTTAACTTATCACTTTATTTATGTCAACAATTATAAATTTTAATGCCATGATCTATCAAATTTTAGAAAAAATTTTATTCTCAATTGTTGGATTTTATGCGCAATATTAAAGAGATAAAAAAGAAAATCAACACAAAAATTTACGTGGTTCGGCGGTGTGCCTACGTCCATGAGAGCGAAGCGGAGATATCTTTTCTTCAGTAGTGATGAATAGGGTTACAATATATTATTTATATTAACTCTAGCCTGGGCCCATATAAAATTTTAAGGTTCGTACAAGAAATACCCCATGTACCGTACCGCGAGGGTGTTGCCCCCGCACCCCAACCCATTCCGCTCCACTCCTCTCACTCCACTCCGCGCCGGCATCGGCCCTTTGATCCAGGACCTATGTTCTACTCTATATGAGCCACATGCACAACATCAATCAATGCCCATTTATCCACATATACAATTTTGCATTAACACAAATTAAGATATATGATAGTTCAACGTTAGGCACAGAATCGAAAGTTCACTATATTCCCAATCATCATTTGCAATCCTATTGTTTCACTATCATGGACTTAATTTTATAATGCAAAATTCCATGAGTCCTAAGTGAGAATCACATTATTTTTTCCTACTTGAGAACTCCCACTCAGTGAATCAAATAGTTCTAGATTAGATTTTCTCTAAATCTTCTAATCGTCGAACTATCACTTAACTAACAATCAATGTCTAAGTAAGAATTTCACTAATTCTACTGATCTTAGCATCTATAATAATTCACGAATTAACAGATATCATATAATTCAATAAGGTAATACCACAATGTGCAATAAAAATATAAGTATGCACATTTATCTAGTTATGACACATATCATGTATCACAAATTAATTCTTCTAGAAAATAATTTCAATTATATTTGAAGAATAAAACTCACATGATTTAAGTTTTATCATACAAATTTTCAACCCCACTTTAATAACTTTTGCAATACAATCTTGACAAATTGTGAGTGATACCAGAATTCTGCTTGTCACCAAAAATATCCCCAAAATATTATGTCCGATTTGGTCATGTTTCATATTCATTTATAAATTTTAATAACCACGTAGCTTTTCAATAAGTTCCATAGTCTCTGCTTTTCTAGCGTGGTTTAAGTGTGGATAAATCCAGCCATATCTGATAAAGTACAAAAATTGAAAACAAGTTATAATGGATCACATAACGTAATCAAAGAACTACACAATTCATAAACGTATAAAAACGTGGTATTTTAAATATTTTCGGAATATTTTTCATTTTCAAAAAAATGAGAACACTTCAAAAAATAACTCGTACTAGCCAAATGCCACTTAATAAATATTCTCGATTTAAAAAAAAAAAAAATCTGAATTTAATCAAGTTAAAAAATATTTTTAATGTTTTTTACAAATTTATTTTAAGCATTAAATACAAAATAATAATAATAATAATAACTATTCAAAAATTAATTTAATTATACTAAAAAATAAAGAATAATTCAGGGACCAATATGCAATTTTTTAAGAATTGAAATTGGGTCCCATTTGCTCCCTCACATGCAGGACCAATCTGCAATTATTTTTTGAATTAATACCTATCAAAAAAAATTATTTTTTGAATTAATAAAAAAATGGGAGCTGATTCAGTGCTACCACCTGGTACTCGAAATTTTTATCGTAGCTAACTTCAACGTATGAGTTCACTATGTGGTCATATTTTAAAAAAATCAACTTTTAAGGCCGCGTTTAGGACATCAACATATCTGTCCGAACGTAAAAATGGCAAAAAAATTCATGCAAAATTTCCAGATTTTCAATCAAACTTTTAGCAGTCATAACTTCTTTATTTCAAGGAATGATCTTTATATTGTTGAAAATATTTCCAGAAGATCTATCCAATCATATCAAATGGGAATCATGAAACGTAGTGTAAAAGAAGTTATCATATGATAAAGTTTCGGATTTTACCAATATCCATACAAAAAATCATATTTTCTTCCAAAATCCAGGAGATCATAATTTCTTCATTTCAAGACCAAGATTAATGATCTTTATTTCGTTAGAAAAGTCTTGAGAAGATCTATCCAACCACACCAAAAGGGAAGCATGAAATGAAGTGTAGAAGTCATGTAATAAAATTTCGAATTTCACCAAATTCCATGAAAAAGTCAGATTTTCATCCAATCTTCAGGGGGCATAACTTCTTCATTTCAATGTCAAAATGAATGATCTTTATACTATTAGAAAGGTCTCAAAAAGATCTATCCAACCATACCAAGTGGGACGCTTGAAATGAAGCGTGGAAGAAGTTATTATGTTATGAAATTTTAAATTTCACCAATTTTCATACAGAAAATCAGATTGTCATCCGAACTTCAAAATTTCATAACTTCTTCATTTTGAGTCCAAAATTTAAGTGCTTTATACGTTTGAAAAGCTCATATAAATGCCTTTCTAACTATACTAATCTTACTACATAATTATCAATGCAAAGAAAGCAATAAATTATCAAAAGATGCTATAAAATCTATAGGTTTGAAAATGTTGCATACAAAATTTATAACTCAATTAAATCATATAATGGCATATTTAAGTATGAAATATTGCAAGGAATTCAACCTTAATCTCTGATATCAATGTAATAATAAGTGGTATCTGTAATTGTAAATTTCAGGTTAAGATGCTTACTTGAAATAATGAATTCGAATATCTTTTCAATGGTATAATTACCTTGCTTTTCAAAACTTTAAATCTGCAATTTTCTTGTACTCCAATGATTCCAATACCGATCACAATGGAAGGGGATTATTAGCCACAACCTAAGTGCTAATTTTTGTGAGTTTTCATGTCAAAATAGTGGTTCTAGGTGCCTTTCAATTTTGGTAATATTTTTCATACGAATTTTATCATTTATTTTGCCATCTTTTTTGTCTCTTTTTTCATAACTTCAGTTAGAAGGTTGTAAGAAGTTTTTTGGGAATTGTAGGGAGTTGGAGAAGTTATGGATTTGAATTCCACTCAAAACATTCTTCCTACCAACTTTTAAAATCTTGCGGGTCAGGTCATCCCATAAAGGTGATTCATGACCCACATTTTCCAAGACTTTCTTAAACTGATGGTCCTTGGTTGAATTCCCCTATGCTCATCTTCTAAATTGCTTTCGAAAATTTTTGATATATAACTGTGGAAATGGAGTAAATTTCATTAGGTCAAAGCCACTTTGCAAAATTCTTTGCCCTTATAATTTGTGTTGGAAAGAGTAGTTTTGCTAATTGTATATAGGTATAAAGACGAAAATACAAGAAGATGTGCACTACACACGAGAGACCTTTTGATCTATAGATGTGCTTGATTGTAGCGAAAGACTCTTTGGAAATTATTCTGGACTCTAACAAAAATATACTGGAAACTATAAAATACTGAAACGTCATTACATTTCAGCAAATAAATTCCCAAAACACACATAACGGATCCTCCTTAAATATTGGAATAAACAACCCTAATGCATAATAAGCTATAAGGTAAACTTTCTTTTCCTTCATAGGCCTCACTCGATTGCCTTGTGCAACTTGTAATTTAAGTTCTAGCTCTAAACTACCTGAAGATCTTGTATAAAATATACCAAACATCAGTATCAGTTGTAAAGCCGTAAAATGCAATATGATTGAGCAGTAACTAGAGTTTCTACGAGTATCAAATTTTGAACTTTTCATTGAAATGTTGTTATCTTTCTTTTTGTTTGTTTATTCAATCATCAATTTCCAAGTCACTTTAGTGTATCACTTTGAATTGGAACTGGAACTCTGTAATTGATTTCATATGATTAGTTTGTGAAAGGGAACCAATTTGAGACAGGTTTGAATTTCAGAAGACAAAATTTGTAATATTACCTTTTCATCATAGGCTTCCACGTGGACCATGATCTCACAACGTGGTTACTTTGATAAGGACGGAGATAGATTACCTTAATCATGCTTCAGCTTCACCATGTTCCCTGCCTGTCATAGTGTATCTCCAAGTTTTATTTCTTGCATGTCAGGCTATAGAGAGATTTGAACATTTTGTTTTTGGATCGTTTTAGCAACAGGGTATTCTAGTACACAAGTAGAAGCAAGACTGTCTGGCATCAATGTTGTTATTGGAAGGTGATTTATCCTAATTATAGATTTATGTTCCCACATCTTAATAGAGATTGGATCTTAATATTTTGATCTTTTGCGTCATGTTGGACAAAAGACAAGGCGAGTCATGTGACTCAGTATGCAAGTCAAACGGACAATCTTGTGTGCCCAACAAACTCGCATTACTTAACCAGTGTGAAATGTAAGCTTAATCTTCTGAGTTTCTTAATTAGTGAAATTCAAGCTTAACTTGATATAATTTTCATTTTCATGAGAGCTATATTAGTTTTGCTATTATAGTCTATTATATTTTGGTTTCTTCAGCATCTCTTTACTGAATAGTATCCATCAATGTTGTTCAATGTGCCTAATAGAACTGACAGGTCATGAATTCTTAAAACTCTTAATTCTGTTATGAATTATGCGATTCATACATCACTTTCTTTATATCATGGTTGAGATCATCCATGTTGTCAAGAATTGATTGGATGAAAAAACTGTTTTATTTTTCAACTGTCCAATGGTGTAATGACACCTGGCAAAGTGCAAAAGATGGTGTAAAATATGATGTACACCAAGCATGAATGCCTAATAGAACTGACAGGTCATGAATTCTTAAAACTCTTAATTCTGTTATGAATTATGCGATTCATACATCACTTTCTTTATATCATGGTTGAGATCATCCATGTTGTCAAGAATTGATTGGATGAAAAAACTATTTTATTTTTCAACTGTCCAATGGTGTAATGACACCTGGCAAAGTGCAAAAGATGGTGTAAAATATGATGTACACCAAGCATGATTGTTCTGTTATATGCAGCATTCAAAGGTATATGAGTTGCAAAGGTGCCTGTTTGGAAAGCATTGGAGCTGACCAACCAGCTGAGGTTGTTGACGATGCCCCAAGACATCTGGTACCCCTTTTGCCTTGTGTTTTATTAATTTAATCCTGAATATGTTGTCGCATATGCTGCTTCAATCTGAGAAAACACAATTGCCGTTCATGGAAGTCAAGGTATTAAGGCAAAATGTTCATTATTGGTTTTGTAAAATCATTTAAGACCAATTCATGCAGTCAAATTTTTATAACTCTAGAGTCATTTCTGAGCAAGTCGATGGCGCTATTTACAAATTCTGTTGATACTCATATCCAAGTTAATTGTTTTTTTAAGCACCAAAATAAATTTCTAATCAAATTAATGTTTTCTGAAGAGCATAAGGTTAGGCAAATGCGGTTCCAGAGAAATTGTCCATGACAGTGCTTCCATATATTCTAGAACATTTTTGAATATAGTGGAAAATATATCAATAAGGTCTGGTTTTAGCCACTGAAAGGGAAAAGCCTCAACCACACAGCACAATTGATTATAAAGAAAGTTTTGGAGACGTGATAGCCCATAGCACAATAAAATTCCTTACGTAATGTAAGCACCTCAGTCACATGGATTTTGTTGAAAAACACTGCTTATAGCTTAAAGAATGTTATTATATCTTGAAATACTCATCGAAAAGAGCAACAATTGACATCTGCATGACGTAATTTTTCCTTTTTCTTTCAATATTTGGACTATTTAACTACCAACAAACTCAGCCCTTTATTATTTTTTCAAACTCGATCCGTTGCCTCGTCAGAATCCAGGTGCTTGCTTATACTCAAAGATGCAATCTATTCTTTCTTGCGATGGCTCACATCAGCATACAAGGAGGCTCTGCCCATGCGCCTAGAGCATTTGTAAGGTATGTTTTCTTTGTTGTTTTTGAAGTCACTCATTTGCTCAAATTGAAGGGTGGGTTTGGATCAAAATTTGCGTTTCATTTTTATGTTGTTTGGATCATTTTTGCTTAGATAAAAACACCTACAATATTTGAATCTTTTTGTTTTATTTCTATTTACAGAAGTTTGTTACTTTAAAAATACTTCTAATTAAACTTAACCTATTAGACCCTTTTCCTGCCTTCTCTCAAATATTCACCATTTAAGCCAACTTGTTTATTCATACACCGTCTTCCATTTTCTCATCTCTGTAATGCGCTCTATCAAGTTGCCTCTTCTAAGGTTTTTATGATGCACAAGCACATTCTATTTAATATTTCTATTTATATTCATGATGTTGACACACAGAAGCACGTAAATCTCAACCTTAGAAGACCTATTGATATGCAATGGTGGAAGAAGCAACCTCAATGATGAATGCAAGAGGATATTGGTGGTTTGGTTGTATCAAGATGATTTATCTGGTGTTCTTGATTGAAGAAAGGTTTGGTATGATTTCTACCCAAGTTTTTACTTGGAAAAAATGCTGTATGAGAACTGCATTTCCACTATTAATTTAAGGCAAATGGGAGGGAGAATATGAGCCATCTTTTCTTGAATGTTAGATTTGACCGATCTTCAAGTAGACTATTTATTTATTTTTTGGGGGCGGGGGTGTACATTTTCCTAGCTGTACTTGTTTGCTAGACATGACTCGACTATATTCTGCATTGGACGAAATTTACTGCATGACTGGGGGCCGGTGCTGCATTCCCCGTCACGGTAAGTTCAGAGCACAATGGGCTCAAACTTTATCTGGAGAGATTTCATGGGACTTGGGGTCGGAGTCATTCAAATGCTTATAAACTAGGGGTAGACAAAATGATTAGATCAAGTTAGACCAACCAAAACCAAGCCAAATCAAGTGATTCGATTCGATTCTACAAAAAATAATTAATGAGATTTTCATTTTTAGAATCGAGAACTATTTGGTTTTAGTTCTAGTTCTAGTTTAGAAGCAAGAACCAGAGAACCAAAGTCAATTTTATTATTATTTTAATATATAGTCCTTGTTTGGTAGCAATTTTTCATCCCAAAAAATCAATTTTGAGATCGTTATTTTATTATTTTAGCTGTCATTTTTTACTTTTTCACTCACAAATGTAATTCACTTTTCTCTCTAATAGATAAAAAAATCAATTCTTGTAATCACTACCGAAGTGACTAATATTTATTCTTTTTACAAATTAGTGAAACACTACAAAGAATTTAACTTTTAACAATTACAAGTATGAAATGGACAAAAAGGACGTTTATCATTATATTTTACTTTATTACCTATCAACAAGGCGTGAAGTCCTAGATCTAAATTCTAATTCGTTATCTCCTTTTCAATTTCAAATATACACTTGTACTCTTGTACCACAGTTATTATTACATTTGTTGAATGTTTGATGTTCATTTTTTTTGTTTAGGTATATTTTACTTACTATAAAATGGTGATAAATTTCAATTTGTATTTATCATTTTAAAAATTTAAGTAGTGGAATCAAAATCGAACCAAATCAAATCAAGCTAGAGTCAAATGGGTCGATTTTTTTTTTTTTCGGTTTATTTTAGTCCCATTATAAAAAAAACCAAATGATGTTATATTCACCCTATTATAAACTGCTACTTTGAATGGTCCACAAATACGTGCCAGACCCTCAGTGTGTCGAACCCCCAACGAGGTCCGATGCAGGTTTACTCAAACGCCCTTCCAATCTTAAAATAGAATCAATAATTTCGTCCCCTAAAATATCTCTGTGAGTTGTCCAAGTTGCTATGGCATGTCCCACCACAAAGAGTCAAAGTCTTTCATTTTGGGGAAAAAATGACTTGAAAGTAATTGGTAAATCGACTGTCATTTTAAGCATTCATCTTTGATTTAGTTGATGCTTTTTCATTTTTTCCTAAAAATGCGATCTAATTAAACTTTGGTTAATTGTTTGTTGTCTTGTTACTCATGGGGGCAATAGGTAGTGTTTGGCGAAAATCTTCTCTGAATACAAAAATATTTTCACCAAATGATTTTGAATTATCAAAGATACCTCTTAAAATTCTATCAATAGTTTCTATTATTTTTGTTGGCCATTAGTGCTTTATCCCATTTATAAGATTTGTGTATCAAATCAATTCTATTGTAGTATTTGGTTTTGATATAGTACATATTAATTCATTAGTCTGGAGTGGAACATTGAATTTTGAATGGGTGATTCTACCTCCTGGCCTTATTGATGTTACTATACTTGAAGTAGCTGTCACCAGTGCTATCAGCTTCTTCCCTAATTTCTATCAAAATTGTGACCGTTGGTTGCCGTAATTGTTGACCCATCCTCTCACGGGTGTGTCCCAATGGAGAAAAAAGGGTAAGATTTTCAATTAAAATCAAGATGAAAAGATGTACCAAATGTGGCGATAATGCTACTTGAATTTTGACATTTGAATCTTCGATAGAGCGTTTATCTAAAATTTCTTTGTATTGTCACTGTTACCATGTAAAGTATCAACAAGATGAGGCAAGTCGTATGCATCAGTAATCTTTGCTATAGATTGGAGGAAAATTTGAATATCTCGCAAAGCTCATTGCATGTAATATTCTAATGATTTTTTGACATTTCTTCTGTAACCTTCTTTCAAATCTTTAAAACATAGGTTCCACAATTTTCTTGCTTCAGTGGGTTTACAGTAACGTTATGTACTAACGAAGTGAATGTAAAACATAACTTTTAGTGTCAAGGTGAACAAATTATTGCAACATTTCAATTTTCTTTGTAATTTTTTTTTTTTTTTGGTGAGATAATTGTTGTTTTTATAGGAAATGGATGTAAGTAAATATGGTAAGATTAAGTGTAATTTAATTTTCTTTTGTGAACTAATATGTGTTTTTAGTAGGAAAGGAATACTAATTTTAGAATAATAACTAATGGATGTTAAAAAAATAAAAGAAAATTTAATGCATGAATTAATGTTATTAATAAAAATTATAAATATTCGATAAGGGCATTATTATTTAATATTGATATTATAAGATGCAAAATTATCTTAATGCATAAAAAATTAAACGACTATATAATAGACTAAAACTAAATATGTGAGGATAAAATTGGTATTCAAATATCATTTCTTTTTAAATATTGTAAATAGATATATAGATATAGATTGCTACCTTGATAACAATAAATAATATTAATTTTTCTACGATCATTTATTGTGTTTTTCCTCATTTTTATTTAAAATATCTTTTTTTATGTCAATAACTAAATTATTTAAATACAATAAGTGAAGCATCAAAAGTTCAAATTTATTAGGTGCAATATTATAAAATAGAAATAGATAGTGAGTTTGACTATCTATATTAGAGAGCCAAACTCAATATATATTTTCATGAATTTCAATATTTGTATCGGACATAAAAAATACATCAACTAAATATTTTCATGAATCTCTTCCTCGATAAATGGTCGTACTAAATTATATAGAATTGCATATCTTTTCTCAATATAAGCATTAAGTATGACTTTTACAAACATTGCTTTGAAATTTTAAAAATATGCCAATTAAAATTGTTTTAAAATTATAAATTTAAGTTTATTAAAATAAGACGGAGAAAAAAAAAAAGCAGACTTCATTACTAAATCTCATGCTCAAAGAACGAGCCATGCAATGATCATACCCCACTTCTGTCATAGAGTTTATCCCACATCGAAGACTTCACACATTTGGCATATTCACGTAAAATGCAGTCCCGCACTTTTTGATTAGTGCTTTAGCCCTCGTTTGACTCTCATTCTTTTTAAATTTCAGCCCTCGTTTGATCCACATTAAATTTAATTACATTATATTACATTTTTCTCTTTCTTATTTTCAACCACACAAATTTTCATAAAATAATATTACACGTAAATCGAAAATTTTTCATTCATTTTCAACCACTCATTTTCCTAAAAAATACTATTCCCCCCATTTTTATTTTCAGGTAATGTGTGATTAAAAAAGAATGAAAAGTTTTCGATTTACGTGTGATATTATTCTATGGAAGTCAGCGTAATTGAAAATAAGAGAGAGAGAGAGAGAGAGAAAATAAAAGAGAAAGAGGGGCCAAACAGGACTCAGTCAATCGTATTAAATACAATTCTTAGAAATGTAACTGGCTATAATGCTTGTTTGGTTTTCACCAAAAGTACATTTTAATTTAAAAATCAAAGTCAACATTAATTTTCAGTTCCCATTTCACAAGACTTTAACTAGTCACTTATCCACTACTTATTTTTTCAATAACTATAATGAAATCCATATAACTATGCTACTGTTATGAGTCTTACTAGGTATACGATTATGATTAAAATTTAATTTTGAGTTTTACATTATAATTTATAATGCCGTTATAATTAAATCAAAACAAAGCACATTCTTAGAGTTTGTTTGGTGTTGATTTTGAAAAACAATTTTTTGACCGTTAACTTGAAAGTTAGATCCTATTTGTGAGTAAAGAGGTAAAAAAAAAAAAGACTGATTATATTAAATAACAATAAAAAAATTAATTTTTTTGCTTGAAAAATCAGCACCAGTTTAGACAAATAAATTTCTAAGCTAAAAAAAAAAATATATATTGAAAAGTTGAGACAGAAGGCGGAAGTCCTTAATTCGCGGACTGTTGTACTCTTTAGCATTTATTGGGATTAGTTAAATTCGGTGGAAAATTTAATTGCATCAGGCGGCATTATTAATCCTAATGCTATAGTCACAGCATACATCACAATTGAAAACTCACAGCCAATCAACTGGCCCAATTTCCTTGGTATTTAATGGGACCCATACACATACAGACTGCCACGTAAATCAAAGTGTCTGTGATTAGCAAAAAATACTTTTTATTATTTTATTTTGCACATATTAATAATAAATTGTTGATTATAAAATTAAAAAAAATGTGTGAAGGACAAAGAGAAACGTCGAGTAGGAAAATTCAACCCCGTTCCTCTCCATTTTTGCTCAAGAATCCAAGGTATTTTTAACATTTACATTTAAATATTGAATTGAATTACATATTTTTTATTTTGCTTTTAAATTTGGATTTATTATTAAGTGATCTTTAATTAGTAATGGAATATGTATCGTTATTTTGACTCAATGCCAGCTTATATGCTGGAAATCTGGATCTCGAAAAGAAAAAAAATTAGATTTTTATATGATTTGATTGGTGGGTTTGTTGTAAAGTTAATGAATTATGGGTTTCAATTAAGGAAAATAAATTTTGTAAGAGATTATAAGCTTTTTATTAATTCTGAATATTCCTGGATATGCGTGAATGTTCCAAAATTGTGCTTGAGATCACTTGTTTGAGGTGATCCTTTGAAGACAATTACGAGCCGGCATTCAGTTTATTAATTGAATTTTGGGGGGTGGGGGGTGGGGGGGTGTTGTTCAGAGTGATAATCACTATTATGAGATGGTGCTCGGTTCACATTGGACATGTAGTCCTTCAAAGATCAAAATGAGAATTTTGGGTTTTGTAGACTTTTATGGACATAACTCTCGATTCACACGATTATTTTGCTTCAGTTTCTCTTGCAGAACGGGGCTTGAAATTTTCATATAATCAAAATGGGTGTTATGT